AATTCACCAGGTTGGGTGCCAGAATGTTCAGGGTGCTTAGTTCACGAAAATCCCCTATTACTTTCAGCGAGTATTACAGCATGGATCTTTGAAATTCACATAAGAAGTACACTAAGATGTTTTTAAGAGATATGGCAATGTGTAGAGCAATTTTCGTTCCTACGAAATGTCAAGTGAATGAGATTTTCAAACACGATAAATAGATAATCGCGAATAGAAATACAGCCACTCCACAAGTCAATGTAGAACAGCATCCGAGATTTGAATGCTGAGAACTATTTTAGTTTAGTGAAAACGCATTCATGATAATCATCTGAAAATACAAAGAAGATCTGATGACAATTAGAAACGTGGTCGTTTATGATATTTAGGAATGCAGTTCGAGTTTCACATAGTTTGTCACTAAATGAAGAAGGTTTAGAAACAGACCACAATTTTGGTTATTTCCTAAAATCTCATGATTATGCGTATACAGCAATTCAATATAACTATTCACAAATAATAATTTTATGCTTTTCCAGTTCATTCGGAATCTATTCACCGGAAAAATACATGATTATGTGTTTTCTGGGTTCATATGGAGTAATGAGTAAGTGAAGTCGAATTCATCATGTTGCAGATATTTTACTATAAATCTCAAATCAAATTACTATGAATCCTTGTTAATATTTCTACTAAAATTTGTAGTTGTATATTGTACACAATACAAAATAGAGGAATTACATTCGCACGACTTTGCGTGATAGAAATGAAGTACTACTGATAGTCAATTCACAGAGACAATTTGTCAATGCTGTGATCATCGTAACATGCTTCACAAACGTGTTGAACACTATCTAGAACAGATGACAACCAATGCCATACATGTTTGTACAAACACTTGCTTTCAGAATAATTAATATCAAGTTCCATTATTGAAATATGAATACATGTAGAAAGTAACGAAAATCGTCATGTCTTATTACATGTTCTATACACTTAGATCTTTTGTGTTGTACTTTGGATTGTGTTTTTCAACTACACCATTGACTCTCGTTGATTAAGATAATAAGTTAACTATAATTCTCTAGATGATTTCAATCAACATACGATTTTACGAACTACATCTCTCTGTCAGAATAGCTAATATGTATCAGACTATACTCAGAGATTATGTTGAGAGGTAATAATAGAAGTCCTCTTCTGCTTCGGTTTGGACAACTGGTCAGTATCACCGCCCACACACACAAACAACTGACTTGAGTGGCGCATATGTATTGGTTGGGAATGATGAATTACAAATGGGGAATAGTAAGCTTCATTTGTACCTAGGTTTTTACTTCTCCTGATATGACACCCTCAAAGTTCGGAGTCAACTCAGCATTTTGTCACTTAAATTCTGGGTGAGCACACCCATATCATGGTGGTTGATTTTATCACCTCATCACCAATGGTATCAGTTCACTCGATAACAATGTCCATCTGTCGATTTCGTTCAAATCAATTATTAATTATTTCTATCTGTTGCAGAAGTTAAAGCAAGAATTGCAAAGCATGAACAGCATTCGTTCACTTAAACAACATATAGAATTCAAAACAAAACTGTCTGCAAGCCAACATCAAATTCACATTCTTCAATACGAACGTCAAGATAGTTCTACTATACTGAGCTGCAACTTCGAGAACCACCACAACAGTCATCAAACATTTACAAGTATTTATAAACAATCATCTACTCGAAATACTCTATATTTGTTTGTCGGATACCATCAGCAAGAGTGTATTGTAGAAGAGAACGAGCCACCTTGCAGTTGAGGATTGAATTAGAAAAGGATGCTAGATGTGGATAGGATGTACATTACGGAAATCCTCAGACTGCATCTCGAGATAAGCGTTAACTTGGAATCATGAAGGGAAACAGAAAATTTGAATTCCAAATAACGTGTTGCGTCGGGATTCGAAGTTAAACATTTCATTGGGTACAACGGGAAATGAGAGCCTAGAATGGAACTGGTAGTGGTGTCATGATCAGCGATCCATGCTACTCCACGACGATGAATAACAGGCGTAATGAAGTGAGTAAGTAAGTAAGTAAGTGATCAAGTGTGTAATTAGGTAAGTAAATGAATGTCTTGTTTTTGTCGACATAGCTCATCTTTTAATGTAAATTGAGTCCCTTGTTATCTTTAAATCGACTATTAGCCTTTTAGTAACCTAGCATTGATATAAACTCAGCGATTTAAATTTAAATAATTCCAAATTTTCGTCCAGCAAACTTGTCAGAACGTCTTTATGGTAATAATGAAAATCTAGATTATCAAAGAAATATATAGCGTTTAACAATCAGATCTACACTGTGTTAATCCAGTCATAATTGGATGTTGTCATGGTAAATAAAACAGCATGGGTCAGTTAAATGCAAATCATGTGGAAAGTTCACAGTGTGGGAATAAATGACTGAACGAATTGTGTGTATGTATGTATGTGTAAGACTGAGTTATTCATAGGTGAAAAGTTCTACGAAATACACTCTTTATTGTCATGATTTCTATCCTTTTCTTACTTAATTATTGTCATTTTCATACTGAAAATAATGTTAAACCTGAATTAAAATTATGATTCATCTGATTATAGTTAGGATAATTACTGAACATCAATGATAATGGAAACCAGTATAAGGAGTCAGATCACCAATTAATATATATATAATTTCATAGGTTGAAATCATGAGTCGATTGAAGCTAAACCACCATTGAAAACCTAGAAGCACTGGACGGCCGGTTCGTCCGATTGTGGGACTCCTCAGCAGTGCGCATCCATGATCCCGCACCACGCGGGGCTCGAACCCAGGACCTACTAGTTTCGCGCGTGAGCACTTAACCACTAGACCACTGAGCCAGCATCCAACAGTGTTAATGTATAACTTCAACCAATCCACGAAGTTGCACCACTGTACACCATTGTCTTCAGTGAGTTGTTATCTCACAACAGACCTGGTTGAACTCCACTGGTAATTACTTCTCACTAGAACTCCAGGAGTTTTTCTTGAAGTCAGTCACTAGTGAGCAGTTGATTATTATCAGAATGGGTTTTCCATAGTGGTCTAGCTTCAAATGACTCATGATTTCAACCTATGAAATTTCTAAAAACTCTACACAAAACCCATTCTGATAATATATATAATGTTGTTTAAATACAAAATGTGAATTTAACAGTAACAATGTGGACCACTATTAATCTCCAAAAATAACGGATATTTTTCAAAATTAGTGTTTGTTCACTGAATAACTGATGCATTTTACTTTTTTAATCGGTAAGTAATGTAATAGTTTTACAATAATTATTGCTATTCAGTTATAAATCTAATTCCTAAGGCGGCCTGCTTGAGCATCTGGGCTACCTGTTCCTGCCATCTAGATATTTCAACAAGTTATCTATTTTTGTTTGTTTTAATATATCATTATGTCTATTAATCACACAACCTATTCTGCTGCGTTTCTGAAAAGTGTACAACCTTTCGTTGTCAAAGTTACAAAAAGCTCAAAAAGAGAGAATATTGTTGCTGGCAATATACAACGAAAAGTATGTACATTATTCAGATGTTCATTTACTGGACTGTTAACATCTAGCTGGCGATCACTCAGTATTTATCGCGAGGACCGACCAAGAAGAAAGAAACGGAAACTTGTTGAAATACTTTGTGCTGAGAATTCTATATTGTACCAATAATATAATATTGAATAAAGCTTATAATAGTAATAGTAATAGTAACATCTTGATATTTATCTTCTGTACACTACTTTTCCCTACTGAACTTTTAAGTTGATGATGCTTCAAAACATTTCAAAGAACTCAATGAAAGCTGTATGAAAATAAAATTAGTTATTAGAAGTATCTACATTTACAAACAGGTTTTTATGATTGTCACATAGTTATCTACTTACGAAGTTGGGATCAACTTCGAAATTTATTAACTAGTACTTTAGTGAACGAGAACACATATGAGAACAATCAAATGTACAAACTTACAGAACGTTTTGGTAAAATCTAAGAACCATACAGTAAATACTTTATTTGCAAAATGTCAATCAAACGTCTCAAATTTCATTGTTATTTCGTTTCCACACCAATCATTCTCTGTTCTCATTCTCTTTTCTCCAATCTACTTAACCTTCACTTTAAATTGATGATGCATACTACTTATATCTGTCGATATTAGTAGCACACACCACAGAATTTATGTCTGAAGTACATAAATCTAAAATGATGAGATTAATATCGGTTTTTATGTAATCAACTAGCTATTGTCGAATTCATTAAATAATTAAGATAATATTGATATATCCATGAATAAGGTATATTTTTAGTTGTTTTCCTTTATATTCACAAAAACACTACAATCATAAAAATAATCACAATACATAACCAATATCATCAAACAATCCGACATTAAAGAATATCCTATAAATTATTGAGATATTGTTGGGATATTCAGAAAATATATCCCAAAAATCATCCTGTTAAATCTAATGCTATCCTTGGACGTGACATGGTGTCATTTTCCTATTGGCCAATATTTATTTCACGTGTCATTTTCCTGTTGGCCAAATATTGTACAAATGTTATTTTCTATTTTATGGTACGATGTGGTCTGCTTGATTGGTATATAAAAACAGAGTATGTTTGAAATACAGGAGTCATATCGCAGAGGCTGAAACTTGTGTTCTGGACTTAACTGGCTGGGCTAGACACGAAACAGGGCCAATCAGGACTCTAGACTGCTCGCACGTGTTTTACGCGTCATTTATACGATCGATAAGCCACTGCTCCCTAATCGGCGGTCACAAGTTATAATAGATATAAACACAATTTATTAGAAATATTTCTTTTATTTGATCAATAAATAAGCTTTGAATACTGTACAAGTTATTGTCATCAAAATATCTTGATAACTAGAAGGTTATATTAAGATACCATATACAAATAACATCTCCATAGAAAACATCTGACAAATAGTGTTGATAAAATCAATATATGAATAACCGAAAACACTATTTCTAACTTTTATCAAGTTTATAAATTTCAGCTAAGTAATTTTAAATAGTCAGTTATATGTACAATATCTTCAATCAGAAATTCTAGATCTTTGTACTATTTTCATTCAATGATCTTTTACATTTTGGATCTTTTCCTTTTAAACCAACTACACATCTAAACTCGAACTTCTTTGTAAATTCATAACGGATTTTTGAAAATCTCGAAGTTCCAAAGCTATAATAAATGTTAATTCTGCACAACCCAAAACAACGCACCATTCGCTTACTGCACTCCATACAAATTCAATATAACCCTGTATAAACACAAAAAAATATTATTTTATGATTAATCTAATTGCAACTATGATTGTTATATATTTTCAAATTTCAAATTTAAGTTTATCATTTATCTCATAACTTTCAGCTTTGCCAAAATAAAATATTTAGACGACAGTTACTACTTTATTGTTAGAATAGTATTATTTTGAAGTAATGGAATCTCCTGGTCTATGTAGGATAATTGTGAAGTTTTCACTTTCATTATAAACAACAGTAATAGTGAAAGAAAATAAATGCCACATAGTTCATAGAATAAATTCTACCATCTTCGATAATCTTGACATTAGACTATGTGGAAATCGCCCTCTCACCTACGGATATATCGACACATACTATTGTTGAAAGTTCATGATATATTACCATTGATATCATTTTACACAGACAACCACGTGCATGAATTCGACTGAAAAAATTCTGAAATCCTGAATCAAATGATTTGTAATATTACCTGTGAGTTTCTAGAAACCTGACATTCAGATCAATTGCCAATCAACCGACACATTAAGATAGACTTGGCTTATCAACTTGTACAAAACGTCTCACAGTTGAATTTGCAAATTAAAGCTAGACTACCATTGAAAACCTGGAAGTACTAAACTGTCGTTTCGTCGTAGCATAGGACTTCTAAGCAGTGTGGTTTCACAACCCCGAATGTGGGATAAAAATGTGTGATCAACTACTTGCTTAAAGGTCAATCAACGAGGCTTTCAACTTTGAATGCAAGGACAAATGAAGACAAAGCAACCTAAGGAGATGATTAATCATGAAGAAGACCATCGGAATGAACTAATTTAATCCTTAACTTGAAAAGGACACTATGTAAATATTTGAGAAAGACTGAAAGTACTTTAACTTTTTATGTTTGTAAGCAGAAACTCAGCCTTCAGTAATAATACCATCCTATGCTTTGTCCTTATCTGACTAATTTATCAATTTTAACAAACAAAGTTTGTGCTCTCATATATCACTTACCGATTCATAAGGTTTGATATAGAAGAAATCTTTCGCTTTTAAAACTTTAAGTCCAATCATATTGAAATGTACAACTGATAAATGAAAAATATAAGTTAACATTTTTAAAATAAACAATGACACATTTATAATTAGATACATTCTATCAGCTGAACAACCTGATAAACAAAATAAAAATTTCGTTACATATGTCTACAACCCTATATGTCAATATAAATATTTCACAGATCATGAGTCAATTAAAACAAGACCACCATGGAAAACCTGGAAGCACTGGACGGCCGTTTCGTTCTAGTATGGGACTCCTCAGCAGTAAGCGTCCACGATCCCGCACCCCGCGAGATTCGAACCCAAGACCTATCAGCCTTTTAAGTTGCCTAGAAAATCTACTCAACACTTTATTTTTATGATGACATAAAGTATTTTAATATAAAAAATAATTATTCTATTTTCAGAAAGCGTTTTGTGGATATTATGATAATTTTAATAGTTGAGATCATAAGTCAATTGAAGCTAAATCAATTTCACTCAATTTCGTGGATTAGTTGAAGTTAGACATTAACACCGTTGGATGCCGGATGGCTCAGTAGTCTAATGGTTAAGCTGGTTCGAATTTCGCGAGACGGGATCGTGGATGCGTACTACTGAGGACGAAACGGCCGTCCAGTGTTTCTAGGTTTTCTATGGTGGTCTAGCTTCAATGACTCATGATTTCAATCTGTGAAATTTCTAAAATCTCCACAAACCCCTTCTGAACATATAAATATTCTCAATGCTTGTAGAATATAAAATCATTTACTTAAAATGATTTCATATTTACTGTCTCTATCGGGAATCGTAAAGATATACTTGATTTATTAGTGGTAACAAGTATTTACACTTTATGACTGTTATCATTATGAAACAAAACTAAACTTCTGCTTTTTGTAACCCATGCAAGATTCAAACTATCAAATTGTTTAAAGCTATTTTTATTGTGATTTCTCATAAACAAACTCATAGGAACTTCAACCTCGTGTTGTTACATTATTGAAGATAACTCCCTTGAACAAAAAGCTGTATAAACGATGAAATATTCAGAATAGGAATTATTTGTTACTGTCATACAAGATCTGTGTATTATATACAATGACTGATCGGTAAGGATTCTTAGTTATCAACATACCTAAATAAGATGAATTAATGAACTATTGGGACCTAAGGTCCCGATAAACACATCGAATAAACATTCACAGTTTGTTAAGCTTTTCCATCACTGATTCACTGTTTATTTTAAGCATTTACTATGTTCTATAGCCATTTTTAACAGTGATTTCGATGGTTCAATAGTGCATTATCTATATTATCTTTTTCCTAACTATGAAGTCATAAACGCTGTTTCGCAATATCTTACTCTAAATTATTCACATTAGTAGTATTGTCTTTTAAAGAAAATCATAATCTACAATCTGCTTGTTAAAGAAACATGCTTAATATTAAGAAGGGAAATAATCATTTGTTGTAGTTCAAAAATTATTCAACCTATCAATAATGTAACCAGGTTTACACTGAGTATTTATGCCTTGAAGTTAAAAAATTACTAAGTCGTTTCGGGTGCGTTGAAATTATTAATTATGATTGTTAATTTTACATATGATAATTAACTTTAGTACTGTATTATAGTAAATCAACATTGAAATAACAAGTATAACAAGTAATAAAAGAGAATAAGGTGTCTCAACATACTAAAGTATATGTCTCAACCTCGTTGTATGATTATGTATATCAATTATTTAAGGTGTAAATACTTTATGAATCATTGTAACGGCACTTTGCTTAATAATGTTTCCTTTCTTAAATATCAGAATTTTTCTTGAGACATTAACATATAATTTATTTCAATAGATGAGATCATGAGTCAGTTGAAGCTAGACCACCATGGAAGACCTCGAAGCACTGGACGTCCGTTACCTCCTATTATGGGACACTTCAGCGGTGCTCATCCACTATCCCACTTCGCGAGATTCGAACCCAGGACCTATCAGTCTCGCGCGTGAACGCTTAACGATTAGACCACTGAGCCATCCGGCATCCAAGTATATTAATGTCTAACTTCGACTAATCCACAAAATTGAGCGACACATCCATCATTGTCTTCAGTGATTTACTATCTCACAACAGACCAGGTTGGACTCCACTGGTATTTATTATCTTATGACTAGTATTATACATTTTCGTCAAATATTAGTCAAACCATATTTCATGTATTATGAAATCTTTGAATGAATATTTGGTTTTTCTGGTAATTAAGTTATTAAAAGTTATTTAAAAGCATATTCTTTGTTTATATTTCTTGTTTATATATGTATATTGGGAATTTTCTCTAGCAGATTTATGGATGTAAATAGAATATTTTAAATAGGTCCAATATTTTCAAAGTTTAAATCTCATTAATTATCATGCAAAAACTATGTATCGAATGTAGTTGAACTTGAAAAAATAAACGTCTGTGTAATATTCAGTAAGAATTTTTTGTGTTCTATAAACACTCACATGAAGCAGATGCCAGTACCATTTGAATAACAACAAATAGTCTTCCAAAACAATATAATATCCATTTGTTTGAAATACAGGCGATTACAACTGCTCCACAAGGAATTGCAATAACATGACAAATAAAATTCAATAAAGTCAAATGATAATGTTCAGCGTTGTTTTCTTTTGTCTATTCAAATCATAATAAATAAATTAATTAATTAAGTTAATAAAGTAAGAGTTTGAATAAATCTAATTGAAGTGTTGGTAAATGACATCAAAGTTCTCTTGTTTCTCATAACTAGCTTTTATATTGAATCAGTTTATCAAAAGTTGTTTACAGGAAAACAATTTATTCAAATTGTCATTTGTTCTGACTGAAATCACACAGTTTTCAAGTGAGAACATGAAAGTAAGCTACATAGTTTCTTCAACCAAATGATATAAACACTAGCACAATCATAATGAATCATATCAATTAAAATAAGCTTTTTTTATTTAGTGCAGCTCTATCCTCAAACTACTCATTGTATCTGTTCTATTAAAAAGTAAGAAATTGAAAATGGGAAAGAATAACTTAAAATACTTGAAAGCTTAAATTCACTTAGTTTTGACAGTTTATTATCTCAATGGTTAAGATCATGAGTCAGTTGAAGCAAGACCACCATAGAAAACCTAGAAGCACTGGACGGCCGTTTCGTCCGATTGTGGGACTCCTCAGCAGTGCGCATCCACGACCTCGCGCCCCGCGAGATTCGAACCCAGGACCTACTAGTTTCGCGCGTGAGCACTTAACCACTAGACCACTGAGCCAGCATCCAACGGTGCTAATGTCTAACTTCAACTAATCCACGAAATTGAGCGACACATCCACCGTTGTCTTCAGTGAGTTACTATCTCACAATAGACCTGGTTGAACTTCACTGGTAATTACTTCTCACTAGAACTCCAGGATATACCTCTTGAACCCAGTCACTAGTGAGCATATGTTGAGGAGTCCCACAATAGGACAAAACGGCCGTCCAATGCTTTCAGGTTTTCCAAAGTGGTCTATCTTCAACTGACTCATTATCTTAACCATTGAAATTACTATAATATCTACAAAACCCATCTGATATTAATTTATTATCTCTTAAATATTCCCTTTGAGTTGAGTTTTTGTACTCTGTTCTCTAAAATCAGATTTTTCTTAAAAAAACACCATTAGTAAGTCAGATTGATATCAATACTCATAAATGAAAAGGCTGATAAACATACGTTAATAAAAGAAAGTCCGACTATACACATCCCAGCTATCGTCATAAATACCACAACAACTACACGTAGAAAATGAAGTATTATGGATCTTCTCATTTTCCTTATTTGAACTCCAGCTTTCCAACACCAAATCCATTGACTCAAAGTAGCTGAAACACAACAAAAATGGATATTTATTGTTTTTATCGAATAAATAAATTAGATAAATAATTTAGATAATTTGTCCTAATAACACAGCAAAATCAAAATCTTCTGTTATCTGCATAATAGAAACAGAAGCAAGGGTTATCGGTACAGTAGGTATTATCTCTATTTCACTCAAAGTTATTGCTTGCTATGAATAAACGCTTGTTTGAACGTCGTTTGAACTGACTGGTTAATACAGAAAGCCAAACTTTTCATTTAACGAACCAGTAATTTAGTAGACGAAATACTTAATTATCAGTATCTTCTAACAAGCTTTTAATCCCATGTAAAGGCTTCATAAGGAATGTTTATGATTGGAACTTAGGTACACGTGTGAGAAGCATCACTATTGTATGCATGATCCCATTCAAAGTACTTTAAGAATAAATCTCAGGTCATGTCGATGTCTAACGTACCTAAATTAACACTTAAATTATCATTATGTTGCAATATATAATACGAGAAACTCAAATTCAGTTTGTATTGAGGAGTATTTTCTTCCAAAAATCTAAATATATTGATGACGGTAAGCAGTTCAACCTACCCATTATTCCATAACTTGACATTAGAACCATGAACATGTATTTTTCCGGTGGATAGATACCAAGTGCGCTACAAATATTATTACATAAATGGCAATTAATCTAAAACATCAGTTTAGATTGGTTTTTTAAAAAAAATTGGAAATGTAATTGAACAGTAAACTTGTGTTTTCTGTTGTCAAGATGTTTTCATTCAATAATTGGTTGAAACATTGTTAGCGAAGAAAACAGTTATGGTTTTCAATGCACCGAATTAATATTCAACTAATTAACTTTCAGTAGATGTAATATAGAACAGATTTACTTCGAAAATATTATGTAAATAAATTTTCCATTAAACAATCAATTTTCACATACGAATATGCGTGGAACATTATTCAGTATCTGAAACAATCAGTTCATTTCACAAATGTTGAAAGTGTGTTGATGAGATGAAATTGGACTGCAGAAATGGGATAATCACTGATATCCTAAGTAATACAGTTCTATACGTAAGCTAAATAAGGTCAAATGAATAAAAGCTGCGACGAATCAAAAATACGTGAGAAAGACTATACAATGATAAGGGATTAAATTGTCATGCCCGAAATTATTGAAATGGATTTAGGTTTACCCAAATAAGCTTGATCCTTTGAGTTCGACATTTTCATCCCCTTCATAGCAAAATTTCTAGTCGTTCATCTGAGGATTTCCATGCTCTAATATTTAAAATGGTATAGATTACTTAATAATTACAAATGTACACTTTAGCAAAAGCTGGTATCAATTATATATCTCCCAAGTATACATCAGCCAGCGAAATGATTACCAAAACTTCCAAGTCTAATCTTTAACGAATAGCCGAGACTATAATTTATGGACGATCCAATCAGATTTACGATTTAATTGCTAACCCTTATCAACTGTAAATCATAATCCTTATTCTTCAAACTGCTTTATAACCCCCATTTACTAAGTAAGTAGACACTCCTAAAGTCACTTTGGCGTCTCTCAAAGGTCGTTCATAAATTAAAGTCTCACAAATATTAGTTTTGTTCAGATTAATGTTGTACTTTTAAGTTGCTTAGAAAATCTACTCAACAATTTAATTTTGTGATGACATATGAAAAGGATGAATTACAACTGGAAGGAGCTGGAAAGGATTGCCCAGGACAGGGTTGGATGGAGAATGCTGGTGAGCGACCTATGCTCCTCCACGAGGAGTAACAGGTGTAAGTAAGTAAGTAAGATGACATAAAGTACTTTAACCTAAAAAAACAATTATTCTATTATCATACACATAGTTCCCTTTATTATCTTAAAGAGAGCAAGAACAAAGATTGCTATCAAACGTCTAAAACCAGATCTACGTATACAAAAAGAGACAGTAATAAACCTTTCTTTACCCTGGTAATAGTAACCCCCTTTTTATTCATTTATTTCTACTTATTTATTCATTGCAGCATTACTCCAACTCTTTTAAATTACATCATACATAAATGATTGATTTCAATTCATATTTTCTTCATTAACATTAATCTATTTTCATGAGTTCTAATCACTATTTCAATGTTCTGGAACTTTCCCTCTCAAACTCTATTTATTCGAGACAAAATTTTATGACCTCATTAACTCTATCAGAATCTTCGCTACACCATGATACATTTATTCATCTTTAATCACCCTCTTATGTATATATCAATATCTGTAATAATTTAGGTTGTAAGCAGCTGATGAGAACCTAATGAAATAAAATGAATTCACATTATTCTGCATCAATCTTCGTTCTTGCCCTCTTATTCTATTTTCAGAAAGGGTTTTGTGGATATTATGATAATTTTAATAGTTGAGATCATAAGTCAATTGAAGCTAAATCAATTTCACTCAATTTCGTGGATTAGTTGAAGTTAGACATTAACACCGTTAGATGCCGGACGGCTCAGTAGTCTAATGGTTAAGCTGGTTCGAATCTCGCGAGATGGGATCGTGGATGAGTACTGCTGAGGAGTCCCACAATAGGCTGAAACGGCCGTCCAGTGCTTTTAGGTTTTCTATGGTGGTCTAGCTTCAATTGGCTCATGGTCTCAACTATTAAAATTATTCTATTTCCCGTTTTTTTCTTTGCTTTTATTGTTTTCTTAATGTAAATCGTCATGTTACACTTGGTAAATCTTACATTCTGTATGTGTTTTATAATCTTACCTACTTACCTCCTTCACCTCATATGTTCAGTTGAAAATTATGCAATAATGTTGCAGTGAGAAATAATATCGTCCCTGGTTAGTGTACTCTATTTATCTTCGATGAGTGCGCGATATATTGCTCTATCATAAAAACATCATATGAACAACAATTTCTGAATAGTTTCTAAAAGAGTCAGCTAATTGTGACCTTAATGACTTTGTTACAAGTGATAAATCTGTTTATGTTATATGAAGTACGTGAAGAGGATAACTTTGCAAAATAAAGAATGAAATCACCTTCGTATTCATCACAGTCACTTAGTAATTATGTTAAATAAATCTTGATAAACAATTCCAAATAATCGTCGTTATTTAACAGGTCAAGTGAAAACCATGATCACTGCTATATGAGACTGTACCACTACATTTTTGGACAAACACGATGAGAATGAATTTCAGTTGACTGTATTGAGGAGTACTTCAATAATAAAGTCGTAAAAACAGTGTTCCAGAAATCTTTCAAACTACAATCAAATATAATATTGATTTAGGAGGTTATTGAATACGTACTGTTCAGATGAATCATTTTGATTCTTTTGAAAGTACCGCTCTGTATATTTTTGTTACTCTGTAACATGAAACCAATATTCCCTACTGAAATTTACAAGGAACTATTACCGGTTTGCTGATAAACCATTTTTAGCCATTTTATAAGATAAGAAATGAGTGATTAAATCTTATATTCACTTGGTTTGCTTTGAGCAATCTAGGTACAAATTTTTTAATCACAATAAAAAATGTGATCATAGAAATGGGAAACGAACCCACCTTACATATGGTACGACTGGTGAAATATGGTCATTGGAAATCGCGATCAGATACCTTAGATTCGGAATTAAATTAAGATCATTTTTATAAATGAGTGTGCAAATTAAAAAAGCTTAAGAATAAGCAGTTAAAGTTAAATGATACTGTTTATATAAAAAAACCCAAGGAATATCGGATAGCAGGTTTATTTTTGTGTGGGACTCATGGATGATAATCCGCTTCATGCATTTAATATTCTCGAATCATGTATATAAACAAGGCTGTTTTGTTGTTCAACGTTTGCATTCATTCGTAAAACTTATTTTTTTTATAAACCTATTAGTCGATCGAAAACAGTATAATTCTATTGAATAGATCATATGGGTTCTGTTTAAGATAGATTGAAATATATGCAAAAGCCTGTTAAATACAGGTAATCTTCAGTATACCCCACTACATAGACAAGTTTGCATTCATGAATACTATGCTAGGATATCTGCATGTTTTTCATTAATTGGTTTATTCTCATTCTGGTATATAATTATTATTACGTTCATAAGAATTCTATCGAATCATTGGTCTCTCTTTACTTCAAACAGTACTGAAAACCAAATCTATCTGAGTGTATTCAGAAGAAGAACATGATTCCAATGTGATATCAACCTAATATTTTCTGTGTGTTTTACTGTTTTTTCATGAAGAATCATTCCTAATACACCTCCAAAAATTATTTCCATAATTTTCTAATCGAATTTCCATTGATCGTTATTTTGATCCCGACTATAAACTAATGATGTATGTTCCGTGTCATAAGCTTTTAACATTGATTTATTGTTTGCATTGTTCATTTGGTTACCTGATAAGTTTTCATTTCGGGTATTTACACAATACTAATTGACCTCTGCAAAGTATACGCTTGTATAATTCCCTAAACATTATAGTAAATCTGTGAACATTTGTATTGTTTTATAATGGTCATTATCACCTTATCCACTTCTGATACATTAACATTCACTCTGATTCCGAATAAACGTTTTCAATTGTGACCTATTGAGAAATTGCAGAAAATATGTGTATGATATGTATGTGTTCTGGCATTTATCGAAATATAGATGTTTGACGTTTTATCAGAGTTGTGAGTCTTAAATATTTCTATTTAATTTTACAAGTAACCAACTGTAAGTGTTGAGGTTACAACATAAAAATTATACTTACGTGGTTGGCAGCCAGAATAATGCGTGTATAACGGCGAAAAATGGTAGTTTGTACCAAGCGAAACGACACAGAGCCATAGAGAGGAATATTCTCTGCAAGTAATAATAGCAGAATATATACGTATTAATGTTAGACTGGGAGACTTGAAGTTGTAGATGGAACAATTTTTTTCAGTCAGTAATGCAAGAAAATAATTTATTTTGTTCGAATTCTCTCTTATTTGAAGAAACTAGTTACTAACAACGAAATTTATTATGAATTCACAATGTTCATTGAATAAGGTTCACTTCAATGAAACGGAAAAACCTATTGTTAATTTTACATGTGATAATCTCTAGTCAAATGGATGAATGTTGTGTCACTAAAAGACCTAAGAGGTACATTTCATAAGTGTATATAATAAATTATTAATCCTTCAATCTAGAAGTCTTGATGAACAATACTATAAGAAAACTATGTACATAGCTTTACAGAAGATATGAATTTAATCTCCTCAGGATGCATTAGCTGTCAAATAACTTAATTACTTACTTGCGCCTGTTACTCATCGTCGTGGAGGAGGATAGGCGACCCATTAACATTCTCCATAGAACTATGACCTGGACAATCCTTTCCAGTTCTTTCCAGTTTCTGTTCATCCTTTTCATGTCTGTTTCCGATAGCCAGCACACTGTGTCTTGATCTTCCTCTTTTCCGTCTCCTTTCACGATTCCAAGTTAGTCTCGTGATGCACTTTGATGATTTTCTTGATGTATGTCCTATCCACTTCTAACGTCCTTCCTTAATTTCCACTTCAACTGGAAGTTGCTTTGTGTTCTTACACAATAGTCTGTTGCTGATCGCATCCAACAAACAGACATTGGGTATAATGTGTAGAAAATTGGTTATAAACATTTATACTGTTTTAATGATGGTCGTACTAGTTTTCCTAATTCCAGCTCCACACAACTGAAATGCATTGATGTTCGTAATAAAGATTGTGACTTTGATGTTGGTTTGCAGACAGTTGTTTTGAGCTTCACATGTTTTTCAACTGCAAGAATTCTGTGATTGCTTGACTAATCCTTACCTATACATCTGCATCGGATCCTCCTGGTTCATCTATGATGCTGCTCTACTCAGGTACGTGAACGTTTCAACCTCTTCCAGAGTATCTCCATCAAGTGTAAATAGTTTGGTTAGTGTCCTCCATGTTGTATTCCAGGATCTTGCTTTACCCCTTGTGTAGGTTAAGGCCTACTGGTGAAGAAACTGCTGCTACACTATTTGTCTTGACCTGCATTTGTTGATTTGTATGGGATAGATAGGCCAGGTCATCTGAGAAGTCCAAGTCATCTAGTTGCATCCAACCTATCCATTTTATTCCGTGGTTCTTCCCAGGTGCAAAAGTCTTCATAATTCAGTCAACCACCAGAGAAAAGAGAAAGGAGAGGTTAGGCAGCCTTGCATGACTCCGTTAATAGTTTGTGATGCCTATGTATTTCGCACATTTGCTAAGATCTTCTTTCTTTAATATCTCGATGAGATATCCTTCATTCCAGTCTGTCTGTTGGTACTTGTTCTTCCATCCAAATCTTCCTCAATAGAACACGGAGCATGTTTGCAGTTACTTCTATATCTGACTTCAGTGCATCGGCTCGTATGTTGTGTGTTCCATCTACTGCTTTCCCACTACTGAGTTTTCTAATGACCGGCCATCTTGATTTCTTTGGTTAATGGCGGAGTGGCATCTATAGGAATGTTTGTATGTGCTTCTTCGATGTTGGGTGGGTTGCGTGAGACTGGTCATTTTAAGGGTTTCTCGAAGTGTTCTACCCATCCGTTCATCTGTCTTTGGATCTCGGTGAGCGTATGCGTGTCCACTGTTTTTCCTACTCAGCGTATAGATATCTATTCACGCTTGGGTAAGTCGAGTCGGCTCACTCACCTTTTTCACTGCGCGGCATTTCGTTTCACTTCGCTCTCTCCTCTTCGC